TCGCCGCCCCGTCGCGGCGCCCCGCCGCCGTCACAAGGCGCGGAATTTCGCGCCCAGGGACGGACCAGGGAGGCAACGACGAGACCTCCAGGGGTCGTATTTAATCGCGTTTCCGCATTCTGATTACTTTCTTTTGTTTTTTTTGCAATGTAATACGCGCGGCACCTCACCCGCACCACGGCAAGCTTCGAGGGAGTAATTGGCGAAGGAAATCAAGGACGATCGATAACCAAGGAGGGGTGGCAAACGCGGAAGCAGCAGAGATCGCGGGCTGGCGAGAGCAACGCGGCAGGCGGGCGGCACGTGCGGCAGCGACGGACAAGGCCGCCGATAGCGGGGCCCCAAGCGCTTGGGTAAACACCCGGCTTCAGCAAATGATCTCCACAAAACACCGACCCACGGGGTGGCTGGCCACCGCCCCAGGGTCAAACCGGAGGCACACCGGCACGAGCGAAGTTCCGTCCGCCGCTAAGGACAAAATTTTAAGGAGTCGCACGCCGCCGAGGGACCGTTGCCCGCCCCGAAGGATCTCGTATCGACAGCACTGCGCCGGGACACCGCGGGCTTGCAAGCTCGCGCCCGATTGGCTCGCGCGCCCCTCAAGAAGGGGTACCGTATCGATTCCGCAATCGAGCGGGTCTAGCGTTTCACTCTCTGGTCGTCCGTCGGCGAGAAGACGCGTTTGTTAAGATACGCGATAGCCACCCCGAGTTGGGTATTTCGAAAATTGTCTGGCGGATCGAGGATCGTTGGAGGAAGGTGACGGCGAGGAGCCCAGGAGGAGGCATATCACCGGTGAGGTTGCCCGTAAATCGCGATAATATGTAAAGTCACGACGCCGCCCTCCGGTGCACGCTCTCGCTCGGGATAACGCATGTTAAGGTCGAGGTAATTTCGCGATCGATAACGAGAGCGAAGGGCCTCGGGACGGTATCGTGGCCGCGGAACCGTGGTACAAGCGTTATGGCGAATCCCTGGAGATCGCGATAGGCGTTAATGAGTTCGATATCGCGAGCATATTACGTTGTCCTCGCGACCTTGGTGTACGGCCGCATACGGGCCGGTATTTCGTCAATCGCGTTACCGTTTCTTCGCGTCGGGAAATTCTTGTGTTCGAGCGTCGGTGTTAGCGTATCGATTGGTGTTCGGATCTCGTTATTACGGGTTAATAATTGTGCTCTCGCGTTGAGAAACGTTGCGTCCGATATTAATTGCGTTACGTCCTATGGCGTCCCTGCTCGGGATAATCTCGAATTTGGCGTTGGAATGTCGATGGCATTGTTAATCGCGGTCGAAGGTCGTTCCCGCCGATTGATTAATTATGTTAGACTTGTATTCGCGTTAAGAAATTACCGGCGTTCACACGTTTCGTGCGTTTAGATGTTACTTGCGTAGTCCTTCATGGCGTTCCGTGGTTATTAGCGAGATCGCGACTTGCTTGGTTAAATGACTCGGCGCCTCCCCGTTGCGCCCGAGCAGATTCACTCGCGTTAGGTTACGATATCATTGCGACAGAGCTTTCGTACGGTTTTCGACTTGAATTATTAATTGTGTGAGAATAGAGCCTTCAGCGTGTTTATTAGAGACTCAATTTCTTGATTTGTTTATTGAATTTATTTTCTCGACAACCAGTACTCAATAAATGTTATTTTCTTTGTTATCTGACTGAGTATGGAATTATCGTGTCACCCCGCCGAAAATCGCGTTGCCCTTCCTTAACCCCGCCCGTGATTAGGTCAAGCTAGCCGATTCCACGCACCTCCACGCTTCGTTTTGCGTCTCGCTTAGGTTTTCGCGATTTCGTGGACGCGAATGCACGCGTCTGGCGCCCAACATTCGGAATATTTCGTGGAGTATCGGAGGTGCGAGGAAATCACTGGAGAGGCCTACCATCCCGCTCTCCTAAGCCCTTTTGATCCGGCACACGTCCCGGAGCGGTCCGGGAGTACAAACAAAGTCGTGACAGTATATACAATATCGGAAAGTTATTATTTTCAATAATATGTATTCAGCAAAATATTTATTAGTCTCGCTCAAAGCTATTTGCAAGTGGTGTAACATACATTATATCATCTACCGTCATTCGCAAACATTTTTGCTTAATACTATCGATTAAATAATACATTATATCTCCTCTTTTGATCGTCTGTATGAAATCGGACGAAGATACGCCTAATGCTTCATCCGCGATTTCGAACTCATTACTTATCACTAACTCATTTCCATACGTTAAAAAATAGCTGCCGTTGTTATTTGTTCTTACGTTCAAGACTTTATTAATCTCCATGTATCGATCATCTATTAGTTGAACTACTAAATTGTCTCGTCTTAATATTTTTTTGCAGGCCTGGCCGCAATAAAAAGTCCCTTTAAAGATAAAGCGGTTGTAACTAAATAAATTAAAATCATTATAATCTAATTCGGGTAGTGTTAATTCTATTGCATTTCTGTCATAATTGTTTACATTCTCTTGATTTCCTCTACCGAGGAGGGTTAGAGCGCCCTTTTGGATAACGTTTTTAAATTTTCGGTTTTCCAGAAGATTATAAAATAACTGATAAGCTGGTTGACATGAGTTTTCTGTAAAAACATGTTTACTCAATTTGGTTAAAATGCTTGTACGCTTATATGAAGAGTAAATTTGGAGAAGAACCGATCGCGTGCCATTAAAAGACCTTGTTAAAATCCCGTTGCAATGTTCGAACGGAAATGTGGAAGTAGCCCATAGAGCTCCCCAATCGCGTACGCTGTCTGCCATATGCAATAGCAAGTGAGTATTAAATGACAAATGCTCAACGCTGTACAATGGTCCCATAAATTTTACGAATTTGTTCAGGCAATCCTGTGCTTTACATATATCCGATTCCGTTATCTTATTTTGTAAGAGTTTTCGGAAACCATATACAAGTAAAAACCAGTGTTCCAGATATTTTTTTTTCATCACTTTGCTAAAGATGGGGAGAGAATAGTATAATAAGATGTACCTCCATTCGGAAGCTTTGAACAAACCGCGTGTAAGTAGCGAAGAAGGAAGTCTCGTTACTTCTGAAACAGGTTTTATTTTTTCTAGCTTTTTTGAAAGTACCTGCAAACATCTACTTAAAGACCAAGGTTTTTTAGAATAAGCAGGATCAAAGAGCAATTCGAAAATCATCGAAACAACACCCAGGAGACCAGCGTGCATATAATCGGGCGTAAAAGATTTGACAATATTGAAAATCGGTATTTCTATTAACGGCGAGAAACCTTTAATACCATGCACTGATTTTTTTGTCACAACCGCAGTTTCAGCATCTTTCAATACTTGCTCTTCCGTTCTTGGAACTCCCAAGAAAGGCATGTAAACTCGACAGTGTCCCTTGCCTTTGGGGATGCAATAACCTTTATTTAGACACTACGGACACCCATATTCGCCGTTGAATTGCGAAGAATATGTTAATTTACACCTTGCAACGGAGTCGACAGGAGAAACTATAGCGTGAACACAAACTATCACGTCGTTTCCATTCGGTGATTTTATAACGAGACCCGTACTGTGTAATTCCTTTAACTCGGTTATAAATGCCATTGCCAATAAAAAGTCCTGCCAAAATAGTGTTATCACGCCGAGTTTGAAGGGAAAGCTCGTTTATCGACACAAACAAAGGCCACATCGATGAGTTTGTGGATTTAAATACATTGACACCATCCGTATTAAACTGGAGGGTAATATCATGTTCGTTAATGATACCATTTTCCTCTAGTTTACGATACAATCGTCCTGACGTTACATCGCTTGTGTTGTTTTTTGTCACATTTAACTGAGCATTTAGTTCTGGATTATTCAGGAAATCTTTCAATTTTTCTTTTATTGGTAGTGTTAAGAAATATTTGTTATTAGCAATTAATTCTTTCTTAACATTATTGGTCTTACATGTACATAGTACTTCATTGCTGTTCCCAAAGTCAACATTATCTTCGCAGTCTTTACAGAAGAAGTGTTTTCTTGCAGGAATCACGGGAAAGTTTTGCAGAAACTTAAATTTCGAGCTATATATCGTAATGGGCATGTGACAATTCAATAGCTGCAAAAGATGCTCAAGTCCCTTTTCTGAAAGAGATTGATTTAGGATAAATGCCATAATGAGAGCTTCACTTTCAGCTCGGTTAATACGTGCTCCCTCATATATTGGTGTTTCATCTCTCTAGAAAAAAAATATTTGATATTATTCGCATTTGTTTGTTGCATTTGCATTTAATAAAGACTCTCATATGTCGCATGACGTACCAGATTTTCAGGATTAATATCGTTAGCTTGATTGGTATCATTATCTATTTGACGTAAGAATACTTTTTCAATTGTTATTACGTCTACATCTTCTGTCGAAGATGCAGAGCTTGAGTGAAGGGTGAATAATTCATCGGTTGAAACATCACTTTGCTCATTCTCAGAAATTCGTACATCTAGATGACATATGTTCGCAATGAAATAATTCGTTCTAGATACAAATATATAAAGTTCGAGATTATAAGTATTTTTCGCTGGAAATAATAATTAATAACCTGATAGCGATGCAGCTGGTGAATTCGCATTTGTATTCTCGTCGATTCTTATATCATCATCGTTATTGCTCTCGTTCGATCGTTCATTATTATCAGTTCTCGCCATCTCATCATTTCGACGTCTTCCTATTGTTCTCTTTGGAACAGGAGCACCATCTTCAAATAAATACTTTCGATACCGTTTTCCCGGATTCATAATTTTTAAGTATGCACTTTGCACTGCAAAATTCGTTGTGTAGCAAATTTAAATAAACACGCGAAGTCTGATGGTGTGCGCGTGCGCGACGCGGCTATGTTTATATATGTATGTATATACACACGAGCTGCGTTCGGAAGCGTCACTCGAGTGTGTTCCCTTCTCCTTCTAACTTGCTGAGATAGAAGGAGAGGGGGAGTGTGCTCGTGTGCGCTCGGGTAACGTTTCCGAACGCAGCCATGAGGCGATCGCGTGACGCCACGCAGCTCGGGAGAGTAGAACGTTGAACGTAAACATCAGACGTGAACGCGAGTGCTGCAGAAATAGCGAGAACGACGATATATCATCCTAGAATACGATCAAGTGTTACTAATAATCCTATATAAAAAAATATATAAAATCGTGATTAAATTAGATCGAATCATGATGGCACCACGACGAACGTTGAACAAGAGGAATCTTGAAAAAGAAAAGAATAAACCAGTGAAAAAACGAGAGAATAAACAAATTGATCTAAAAACGAAAAAAATCGAATCCTTGGAGAAGGCTCAACAAGAGCTGTTGCACCACGTGCAAGCATCTTCATCGTTTCCATCGACGACTGATAAAAGTGATGTAATTAACTTCAAACAAGAGATTGCGAAGTTGCAGAAGCATAACAAATTTCTGCAGAAGCAAAATAGGCAGTTGTCCGAGATGAATGCTACTTCGCCTCGTAAGTACACATTTATTGATTCATTGCTTGTATATCGACTGATCTCTTTTGCAAGGTCGTATTTCAATTTTACGCAATTTCCGTTTTTCTGCTTAAACGCTTATTCTGGAAACCTCGAAGCCAATAGTGTCTACATCGTATCTTGAAATGGTTTACCAAAAATGAATTATAGTTGTCAAAATTTCCTCGTATCTTTTAACAGTAATAACCAGATGATCTTCAAAAAATTAAACTGCGTAAAATCGAGATACGATCTTGCGAAAGAGATCAGTCGATATACTACATTCATAAATATCACAAACATGCGGATGTATAGTTGCATTATATTAACCACATATAACTGGATTTGTTTCAGATATTATTGGAATGTCGAAGATCGCACATAGTATATTAACTATGATACGAACTGCCAAGAAAGAACTCGCAAAGCATCTTGACACTGTAACCTATAAACCTTCGAGTGCTGGACCAAAAAATAACAATTTATTGATTGAGAAAGGATCAAAATCCTCGCTTCATATAGATAATTTGAGTATGGAAGTCGATGGAACAGAAACTGACAATAAAGAAAACATAACAATTTTTGCTGAACAGCTTCTTGATGACCCTTTGGAGATCGTCAGTAATAGTAGTACCATTGATGCAACAGAGACGGAAAATGCCATAGCTCTTTCAGATATGGTAATCAAAACCAAAGTCGCAATTGAGAATGTGACTAATCCAATCCTACAGCAATCACTTCAGCTAAACGTAACCTTTATACTTATGTTATAAAATATTTTGGATATCATCCTCCACTTTTACATTAGCAGTTTTTAATTGTATTATATTAGGAACAAGTGGAATGCATCAGCTTCGGCGGGGTACTCGTCTCGAAAAAGACGTTGCAAAACTGCCACCCGTCAAAAGTTTCAAAGTTAACAACAGACTTGATGACTGTAATATTCTCGCAATCGGAGATGGCTGAATCGTCTCTTACAGGAAAAATTGCAAATACGCACAAAAGTCGGAACAAATGCGGCGAGGTTCGAGAGAAGAAACAACTCGATCCGTTGAAAACCCGAGCCATCATTGGTAATCCATTCTATATACATATATTCTGTTTTTATATATTAAACATCTATTATGTATGCGTATATAGAAATCAAATAAAAAATAACTGATTCTGATGACATAATTAATTGTCAGGTTTGTATTACAAAATGCCAATGTTTTTACAGATTACGTACAGCAGCAGATTCAAGGGTCAACAGAGACGGAGATAAAAAATGCGATGAAAGGCAAATTGAAATATGAAGCTCAAAAACTGAACGGCGTCGGATTCAAGAAATCCGGAAAACCAAATACTGGAAAGTCGGTCAAGAAGGAAGTACTAGATCAGGATCAAGCACAATAATGATCAGCGGGACATATGTTATTCTGAATTGATGATCCAGTACATCATCGGAACTTAAGTTTTTCCTTTACATTTTGATTTTATTATTTTGTTTTTATTTAGTGTTTATTTTGTTTATAATCAGTTATTTTGATTTTATTTTATTTTCCTGTAAGTTTATTAATCTTTGATAACAGAATTATAACAATTCTATAGTATTTGTTAGTTACATACAAGACTATTTTTTATACACACGCGAAACTTGTCATAAATAGTTCGTATATATATATATTTTTTTTTCAAACGACGAGCTTTTATAATGTGGATACCATGACAGTATTACAATATTGGATCCAGATCGCAATAAACATTCAGTTCCTTACATATATGAGGCATTATATATATATTGCCAACTCGGCAAACGTTTTGACCTTGACCAGTTCCGATTTAATTGTCCCATGATTTTTTATGTTATTGTATTTGCTTAAATTTTGTTATAAATTTTTGAAATTCAAAATTTTGACCCGAATTAAAAAATCAGAAAACATTTCAAAAAATCTGATGTCAGATAACAAAACATTTGAGCTTATAAGATTTATAGTGTCTTAGACTTTTTTTATTTTATACGTTTTAAAATTTTGTAAATGCTCCAACTCGAGGAATCGAGCTTAAATTTTCTATATAAATGAAGGAACATTAAACAAATTTGGTACGCAAATTTGTTTAATGTTAGTTAATTTATATACAAAGTTTTTCTTAGCTCGATTGATCGAAGATATTAATCAATTAAGTTAGAACATTTCAAGAGTTTATTAAATAACTTTTTAAAATCTTCCGAAAAAAAGTCTAAAAGTCCACTTTCTAATAAATACGCTTAAATATTCAATGAAAGATCGTGCTTAAATTTACTATTATTATATATATATATAGACTGTGTCCGTTGAACCAAAGGCAATGGGAAATGAAGGCATATTTATATTAAAGGCAAAATAGTACCATTTATTAAAATGTCATTGAATTTCCATTGTTTACCAGACGCAATGGAAATGAAGGCATTTTTGCCAAAGATAAAAATTTCCACACAAAATCCCATTGGTATTGCCAGTGTTAATACCAATGGCAATACTAATGGCAATACCAATGGCAATACCAACGGCAATACCAACGGCAATACCAACGGCAAAACCAGTGGCAATACTAATGGGATTTTGTGTGGAACTTTTTATCTTTGGCAAAAATGCCTTCATTTCCATTGCGTCTGGAACAATGGGAATTCAATGGCATTTTTTAATGGCAATAAAGGGCACATTTTCATAAGGGCTACGTACGTATTTTTTCTTTATTTTCAGGGCTAAACTCTTGCGACTCCGGCTAGTCACTAAAAATTATTATGTAAGGGGTGAGAAATTATAATTGTCTAATCAGTTTGGGAAGTTAAAAAGGAGAAATGAAAATTTTTAACATATATATATGCAAAGAATAAATATATATATGTTATTTGTGAACCCCGAGGATCCGATTTAAAAATCGCGAGTGAGATTGCGGACTTACTATTTGGTGGGCTCTTGTGTAAGCGGATGTTGGGATTAAAGAAGTTGCACGGCGCTGTTGGTTGCGACTCGCGGATCTCGATGTTTGAGGCGTGCTGAAGGTCGTTGGCAGGACCCTGGGTTGGCGGTAGACACGCACAGAATTTACAAGAGGTACAG